GGGGGGGGGGGGGGGTACTCCCAGAAAAATTGGGTAGGGATGTGCGGTTCGCTTGCCAAAACCCTTACCCTATTTATGACCAAAATATGCGATATTCCCTACCCTATTTATGACCTAACCAAAAATTCGAAACCCTAATTATGACCTGACCCTTACATCAAAACCCTGTTTCAGACCTGCGTTACAATTAGTTCCCTAGTTCAGACCAATGTTAAATTACCGTAAACATAATCTGTGAAGGGCTTTTGTTGATTATAATGATGAAAACGTGGCTTCTTCTTAAAAACATACCCATATCAAGGTTAGGGTGCAAAAATCATACCCCATTTATGACCAAAATGGCCAAAATCAGCTAAAATCGATACCCTATTTGACCAAAACGGCTGAAAAACCATACCCTTTGGGGCCGCACATACCTATATAGCCCATAGAAGGGAGTACCTTCCGGGAAATTGTCCGCTCTCGCTCGTTGAAGCATCGCATAAATTATACATTCATGTGTCTGTCCGCTTATTGACAATGAAAATTGACCGATGAGCGAACGAGAATTTCTGCAGTTATTGAAAAAATGATCTTTTATTTGCCACACCGTAAATGATAATAATTAATGACAACAACAAAAGGCGGCGAGGAGACCTCCAAAAAACCACCACGCTTTTAGCAGAGGCCACCTCGGTTGTAGATATATTGTTCTCGATCTTGGTCAATAAAAATAGATAGTTTCTTCAGAAACGTACAAGATTGAAATGTACTGCAAACATCTTAAGTGGATTTCTGTCAACCAAATTTAGGTCAATTTGTCACGCCATGCGTCACGTACCTCTCTCACAAATGTCACAAATCGTAAGTCCGCCTGTCACGTATCACATATGATGTTCTCACCTGTTCTCTGGGCCAAATATGAACAACGTTTTGGTTTTAATGATGGGTTTCTTTTTTCGAGAAGGCCGCCGACGTTTACCAAACCGGCCACCAGTCTTCAGGATCTTCATGAAATTTCTGCGACTTACTGGCTGATCATCTTCATCTAACAAAAGACAAACGACAATGCATAACTGTACAATCTGTTATCAGATATTCTCACCACTGAGGAACATGAAAAAAGCACCCAACGAGTCTTTTACTGATAGCAGTGCACTACTACAACAAACCTACACCTGTCGTGATGCAACGAAAAATGCGCTACGTTACATCACGCAACATAGCGTTACTTTGCGGTGTGACGCTCTTACGTTATATTGGGAGGCACGCGATGCGGTGGCCCAATGGTTAGCGCGCTGCTCTCAGGATTGAGCGGTCTGGGTTCTAGTCCTGGCTGGGGACATTGTGTTGTGTTCTTGGGCAAGACACTTTACTCTCACAGTGCCTCTCTCCACCCAGGTGTATAAATGAGTACCGGCGAACTTAATGCTGGGGGTAACCCTGCGATGGACTAGCATCCCATCCAGGGGGGAGAAGAAATTTCTTCCAGTCGCTCCATGCTACAGAAATCGGGTTAAGCTCCAGCTGTATGAGCTACTGACCTGACGCAGACTAACCTTAATTCTTACGTTACGTACATACCTTCATCATCCTCTTCCCTTTCCGTGTCTCCATTAACTTCATTCCTCCCTCTCCTCATCCTTCTAATCCGTCGTGTTCTGTCGCCTCCTTCACTTCGTGTCCCTGAGGGCTCCCCGGATTCTGCTACGTCCGTGCCGTTTCTGTCCTCTGCCTTCTCGTACATACTTGCTTCTCGAATGTATGACTTGATCTTTCTTCTCAGAGACTAAACACGGGAAAATATAAACACACACCAGAGAAATGAAACTGTGTTTTTCTCGCGAATATTGTACATTTATATCGATTCAAGTTCTCAGACTTTATAGTTTCAACGCTAGTTTTCCGCACGAATCATGCACCAAAAATTTCTAGATCTTCTGTTTATTTATTTTTTCGCAAACTCCCCACTACTTACTCACCGATGACATTGGCACACCAGTTTCCCCATTCTCCAAGGTCGTGCTGTAATTAAGATAAAATAGCAGACTTATTTTCAGCTAATGACGGTATGGGGGAAAGGATTGCCCAACGAGTAAATGAGAAAATTCTTAGGATGTTAGTAATTACCTATTCTGAGGGGCTGGACTGTAACAAGACAATATAAAACAAAACAAAAAACAAGAAACAAGTTACTCTTAAAAGAAACAAACAATTTCAGTACAATAATGTCGTTTGTCAAACCTTAATGATCAGATTTAAAAATCATCAAGAAACTTACGTCATACCTTCCCCTACAACACGGAATGGGACAGAGCAAGAGAGCTGCTTCTAATCTTTTACTCGGTTCCAATAAAGTGTATGCCAACTGAAGGTTACGATCACTTTTTAAGAGGAATGTGTCAAACATTTTGCACAGAAAAAGACAGAGTTCTCCTAAAACTTTTTTTGCGATGCCAAGAACGCTTCATTTCCTTTAGAACTGAAGTACTACGTTAGATACGATTTTCTACGCCCATGAATAAAACGATCTCTTTATAAGCGACTAACTCGTATATAAGGCCTTCGTTCCCCTTGACCAGCGGCCCCATGCTTCACAACCGCTGATAAAATGATCAAATTAAAAGATCCTGGATACCAAATTGTGCGACAAATTTGACGTAACTACCCTTGTGAAACTCTATGAAGTCAGTAAGGTCGCGTACTGCGATTGAACTAACCAAGCAGTAGTGGGCGGATCCTCAGCTGAAGGTTGCGCGTTCCCATTCCTCTTGCGGACAAAGTGATTGATAGCCATTACCACAGGAAGTTTGGCGCCAGCTTTCCCCCAGCCCTTGCCTTTGTGAGTGTACCTCTGTTTGTTACGAGCACGATTTAGTTCTCTCTCCTGTTTTTCGTTCTCCTCGTCCTCTGTTAAGATCTGCGCGTTTGCTAAGTTGTCGACAGCGATGGCTAAGAACACATTAAGCAGCGTGTCTGTTCATTAGTTAAGGAAGGATTTTGTGTTCACGGAGGTTTTATATGATCACTGAATGTCAAGTAACAATTTCATGTAGCTAGCAGCGAATCTCGACGCGATTTGTCCCAAATTTGATAACAAAATGGGCGGAAAAATATAATCAATCGACGTTTGAAAATCTTACGAATGGGATGGATTTTCATCCACGCAATTTCAATCAAGCAAAACAGTCGGACCGCCAAATCGTGGCGTGTGAGTTAACCCTTTCAATACCAACTACGCATATATGCGTAATTAATGGTCGTGCTCTTTGTATCACTTGTGACGTCATCAATTTAAATGTCATCAGATATTCTTGATAAGCTGATAGTAGTGCTAGGCTAGCCCTTTCCGCACAATGGTCAGGTTTAGATATCGACGAAATTGCGACGTCGCAAATCGAAAAACAAGGTTATCAGTTTTGGTGCAAAAACGGTGGTAAAATGGTCCACAACGCCTGTGATTGATCAAGGTCCATTTCTAGGCTTCGCCCGTAATTAACATCCAACTTTTCACTGCAGCCAGAAAGAACATACAATGCAAAAGG